GTGATGATGTTTTGGATTTGGTGGTGATTGGTTGGCCCAGCTGGGCTTGCTCTGGCTGCAGAATCAGCTAGTTGGGATTACAGGTTGGACTCATTGGTCCGGATCTCCCTTTAACAAATAATTATGGCGTCTGGGAAGATGAATTATAGGTACCGATTTTTTTTTTCCCCTCATATTGTGATTTAGCATTCAACAAATTACTTTATAACATTTAGATGTTTGAACTGCAAATGTTTCCGCATTTTTGAGTTTAGTACTTCATTTGCTACTCTTGCCAAGATTATAAGAATCGTATTACTTAAGGTTTATATGTATTCACTAACCTGTTGGAAAACTCCTTTCCCTGCTTGAATTAAATATAGATGAATATGGTTTTTATGCTTACAGATCTTGGACTTGAACGAGTGGATCTTGTGTAAAAGTCAAGACATGGTAATTTCACAGGTCGCCTAATGTGGATTGCATGTCAATAGTCTGAGCGGGTAACGACCAATCGTGACAATTTGTTGGACTAGTCGGTCGATACACCATTTTGCATGTCCGTCTGCGTTCATCGAGACCCGCTCAGAGTTAAAGTCGCATATTGCTTCAATCGAAACGAATCGCGTGCTATGCGATCACGTAGTTCGTTCAGACTGCAGCAGCTGTAATCGACTGACTACGGTATTTCTAACACTATTCATAACAAGCAGCTGTACTCGAATCTACTAATCAGAGATCGCCATCGTCCAAATAGTTCACATAATTGTGCGTATTCGCCTTAGATATATATATAATAGTACTCTCAACGCCAAATTCACCTGCTGACCACGTATCGTCTCGCCTCTCAGGTCCAGCGCTCAATAACTATATCTTGTAACTACTAACTCAAGCGCAGGTATACGCGATACTCTACGTATTGTGGCTCAATTCAGTCTAAGGGTGATATATGGAACATGATATGAAAAAAAAATAAAAAGGGTGGTATCCATGCAGGATATGATTGGTCGCTATTATGCTAGCAGTCATTGTCGACAAAATATCATATAAACTATTATAAGTGAATTATCTGAACTTTAACGTAATAGATCTGAAGTCCTCAAGTTCTCTTGACTGTACCACAGTAGTCTAAATGAACTGTGATCACGTAGATTGCATCTAAGGAAACAGTGTGCTGGGATCTAGTAACCTTGGCATATGTCAACGCTGGGGTGTCTCCATAGATATTCTTATGCATCAAACTGCGTATGAGTAGTAGAGATAGGTTGAGGTAGTGTTCTTGATATGCTTTAGCGAACTCATCATAATAATGTAGGTTGCATACATCAACTCATCAATCGCGAATGAACACAGGTTTGCGTATGTTCTACGTTCATTCTCCAGGATCGCATGAATGATCTGTAAAGGAGCATGCCAAGCAGTTTGGATAACAAATTACTATAGTCTGACAATCTTCTGTGAATTGCACATTACTAGTTGCTGCGAAAGTAATCAATCCATATCCGTAGCATACGTCTAAGCCACTGAGGCATGGTCCTACAACGCAATCACCTACGCACATTACATGAGCACTTGATAAACAACCAGGTAAGTTCCTGTCCTCTAGAATTTGACATACGCCACGTTACTCATCTTATGTACATGCCGTTTCATCCATCAACCAGAGCTACATCTTCTTGATAGAGGTTTAAGCTTGACTGCACACTGTAATTATTTCCACACATAATAACTAAATTAAATCATTGTACTAAGTCTCGTTACAATTGGTATACTATTTATCTGGCAAAAGTGACTGTTGCAGATATCGAATACAGCAGTTAAATCTCCAGTGTCGTAGAACTAAATGCAAATAGATGGCATCTCTTTGTCACATACTTCCATTGGAAAAAGCTCATACAAAACAAGCAGAAGTAATGAAGAAGCAGCATAGAGCCACTCTATCGGACAATCTCTTCAGCGTTAGTATTATATAAACATGATTGTATAGAGGTAGAATTCTGCATTGAGACTAGTATATTAGGAAATATGGGCCCTAACTTGTGTAAATACAGATCTAGTACATCTCTGGGTGCGCACGGTCTCGATTAAGCAGTATCAGCGCATAATTATGTCAAGATTAGCAGCCTTATTCAATGTCATTGAACCTAAAACAAGAAGATAAAATGTCTACACATCAATTACGTGTGCCATACGTCACTACGCAAAATACGTCACTGAAGTAAGAGTGTGAAACACGGATTCCATTAATCTAGCAGTAGTCATATAGTGGGCATTTGTGCCATCGCATCGAGTCATTAGCCTACACACACTTAGCTGTGCGTTCTAGTCATTTATTCATGGACACATAACAACTGAGTTGAGCGTGTCTATAGACAGATCACTCCATGTAATGTGGTTCTAGACTGGTGTATTCAACATCTAAGTAACTCTTGTTCGTGGGCGCCATGAGTTATAGAGAAATAAATAATAGTCAGCATTAAGGGTGAAGCTGTTAGCACGTAGGGATGATAATGGGAGGGGGGGAGAAGGGGGGGGGGGGGGCAATAGTGAGAGTTGTCTGTACAAGTACCCCAGGGACGAAGAAGAGTGGGGCCCATTCAATGAGTAATGAGCGACATCAAAACTAGTATGCGCGAGTAAAATACCAAGCCACGGAGGTGGTATCATCTACAAATATCTATGTGTAGCGATGTTTAAGTGCTTAAAAAAAAAAACAAAAAAAGACAAAAAAATTCAGAGTAATGCATTCAGGATTAACGTGCTGTGTCCCTCCTACCGGGGGGGGGCTATACAGACAGTAGCCACCTAGTAGCGCGACTTGTGAGCTATTGGCATTACTTAAGAGTACAGGGGGGTAACATTCAAATATTGTACAACTATCATGGTCAGTGTAGCCCTTCCTCCGACTTATCGGATGCAACTTACCTGGCTGATTCTAACCGGCGGCGGGAGGTGTCCATCCGAACACTACCCCGTCAACCCATTGCACCTCTTCAACAGCTAAAGACTCAATGCGGCTAGTGCCAGCCTCTAATTGGAGTTGACAAATTTGACAAAAGTACTATTAGAGAGATGAGGAAGTGCGGGGCGGCTGAGCGGTTGCTAGCAGTGGACACAGGATGACACTGAAAAAAAAAAGGCCGACGAAGGCGTCTGAACGATGGGGGCTATGCACATGTGATTTTGGAGGGAGGTTGTTGAGATTGTGTTTGCACAGACACAAACAGTGGGGGGGGGTAGGAAAGAAAAAGGGGGTAAGGAGAAGGGCTAGAATTCAAAAATGGGTGGGAATTTAAATTTTTTTGAAGCATTTCTGTGATTGTGCGAGAGGTATCGGCATATACGTTATCTGATGATCACAGAACTTATAGTTTCCGTCAGGTACGTTTTGGGGGTCAGAGGTGAGGAGACTTAGGGCTTGAAAAAAATTGCTATAGACGTGATGTACAGGCTCTCTACAACATCAGTTGAAGAATGTACATAATTTTGAGCGGCCCGATGAGAGTGATAATTGGCATTCTATATGGTGTTCGTTGTCTATTGGAAAGTATGATGTCCGTGAAAAGTAGCACTGTCTCATGATTTACTTCGTTTCAAAAAAAAAAGTTTCATGGTTGACGACGATTAATGTCGGGCCCTTATCCATGCGACATGATAATCGAATTCACAACTAACATAGGGTGTGCGACATACAGGATGGGCATGGATAGCTATTACGGGGCGACTGATCATTAGCTTAGGTAAAACCTCAGACGTCGTCATTAATAGCTGATCACTGATATATAGAGGGGGGCTAGTATACACGCATCGCGGCGCTCCTGAGAAGAGAAAGGGATAGAAAAATAAAAACAAGTGGGTTACAGAGGAGATACTCTATCTAACTAGATTGCCAAGTCTTAAAAAATACTGTCATCTGGACAATAGCAGAGTCAAAGCTCAATATCGTTCGGAGCAATTATCGATGTACAGGTGTGAGATTAGTGAAGGCAGATTGTAACGTCCTTGACTGGATCATGGATTTTTTAGTATAAAAAAAAACTAAAAAAATTTAATCATGTCAAATATAATATTGTAATCTGATCTGTAAGATTATTGATTATCTGGGTGCACAAGATACTGAGGATAGCAGTTTAATGAATGTATTATAAGGCATTGGTCTTATATTCGCTGTCGGTGGTTCCTACCAATACAGCCAAAAAAACGCTGCTTGGTGCTGCTGCTAGCTATGGTGGTTCACCCAGCCTCAGTAATGAAAAGAAAGCATTCATCGCACCTTTTTTGGATACTTCAAACTTAATGTGCTAGGTCTTTTTTTTTCCAGTTAGGAACAGGCTATTCATTGTGAGATCACTGTCAGAGGCTCCCACATTATGCTTCTGCAATTGCAAATATATTGAAACAGGATCATTCGCAATGGGTAGGCTTTGCTCGTGAAAGAAGTGATTGAGAATATATGCATATGGCAAGGGTACTAATGGGCAAGACATTTCAATCGAGATGTTGTTCATTTGTAATATGAATCAGTTTGTGGTTATGTGGCAATAATAGAAATTATAATATAGAGCTTCTGACCATTGTTGTTACAAGATTGATCCCTGGCTCAATCACCCCATCCACTGATATCACTTAGATAGCATCAGCTCTCTTATCGTGGCACCTATCTACCTTATTTATAAATTCTTGTGCTTCGTTTCTAGAGCTATTTAGCGTGTGAGGCGACCTATAGTTTGCTTGGGGAAGCTTGGAATCCACTAGTGGATAGTAATAATTTTATAGGTGTAGAAGAACAAGTTTTTCACTTCACTTTGTTTGGAAATTATCAATCTTTCATCTAACTTTTTTCAGTTAGTAGTCAAGGTGCGGGGGCTTTATTAACAGTATATTTAATTTCAGATGTGATTTCTGGGCTAGCGCTACACACTCTCAACCTATAGAGATATCTTGGATTACAATAGAATAAATTTCTCTGGGGTAGGTAAGTCAGCTAAATGTAGATGGTTTATTAGTCATATTGGCCGCATTCACACCTCAATATAGCTGAGAATTGCAGAAACATCAGATCCATTGGGCTCCTTTAAGGTAGAAATAGCTTCAAAAATCAATGCATTGTACCTGGGAGATTCAGTACTTATTTCAAACACCATATAATCAGAAGAATTAAAAACACCTCATAGGATGACTATGGTTATTCTAAACTATTATTTGACAACTTAAAATTGCACAATCTAACACCGTTTGACATGTCAAATATTAAAGATAGAGAGAGCATCTAATACCTGTTTCAAGAGTCAGCATATTGGAACATTTTAACCATTAATAATAGTGATAATAACAAGAAAAGCCTTATCTTTGATGATTTTTATGTGAATGATTTCATATTTATCAATAGGAAGCTGAGATAAATAAAAGTAACCATATATTCGACAAGATGATGATGCAAAGTCACTCTAACTGCTGTGTCAGCATTTTATACTTTCCTAGAAAATAATATTTCAGTATTACTAACATTATTTCTTGTTATGCTCAAGCTGAAACAATGCAACGTACAGATGTTCCCGAATTAAAAGGTGAAAAGAATAACAGATTAGGTAAAGTATTTTAGAGTTATACAGACCATCTGTTTCCAGGAAAAGAAATTATTTAAGCTCATTGAACCACCAACCCTGTACTATAATGGCATGTAAATGCACCACTTGTTGAGCCTAATCTGATAGTTGAGCCTCATTTATATTTCTTGTTGATTTGTATATAATTTTAAGGGGGCATTCCTCAAAAAGCGTGCTTGACACATGCATGTTCTACACAAAACAAGCTTAGCATGAAAACATTTCTATTTTATTTTTGATGGCATAGGTAGAAAAAATGACAAAAAGAAAAGCCATCAAATCACAACATATGATTAATGAATTTCCTTTTCCATGTTCTTAAAACCATCAAATAACTATTCTGCACCAGTGCCAGGGAATTTGTAAAGCTATTTTGTTTTCTACGGGAAAATAATTATACTTTTCCAGTCTCCTAATCCCATACATTCTGATAAAAATAGAGTGTAGATGCAAAAGGAAGAAAAATGATGCATCTGTTCGAAATATTCCTTTTTTATTCTTAAAACTTTTTGCAGCCCCCTTTGGCATCCCCCAGGAGGGAAAAAAAGACAAAAAAACACATAAACCACCAAGAAAGACAAAGCCAAAAAACAGGGAAAAATTTATATTGGTAATAAAATACTTTGGAGCACAGCTTCTTGCAGAATCATCAATGGTTGAATCTACTGATGCATCAGGTGCAGATGCAGTAACAGCAGCAGTAGCAGTAGTAGCAGCAGCAGAAGTCTGTGGAGTGGACAATGGTGCAGCCGGAGCATCTGAACCAGCTTTTGGTTTAGGCGTCCGTGATTTTTCCCGAGGGCCTTGTCCGCCAGCACTAACACTCATATTCCGCCATTTATCCTATTCAAGCAGACAATAACAAGATCATGAGCATAATCCCAAGTCATGGACATGGACTCAATCAACTAAGCTAGATGCACTAAACCCTAACTTCAGTCCTTTTCTCACTTCGATACAGAAAGACATTAAAGTGCACTTTACTGACCGAAAGTAACAGACCTCTAGAAAAACTAAATCCAGCTAATGGCCTCTTACCATCTTACAATACTCTAGAGGTGGCAAATGTTCTGGTTCCTTTCCCCCACCATCATCTTTGTCAAAAGAAATGGTTCAGAGGGCAGTTCCCATCCCCAAACTTGCCAAAATAAGCAGAAGAAAAGAATGACTGATCGAACACCTCCACATACATGAATGATTCTTCCCAAACAATTTCTTTTACTTCAAAATCCAATAATCAATCACGTCTTTGCACATTATATAGTTAATATCAAATGTACAAGCTCACTCAGTTTGGTATTGCACTTTATAAATTAAAAACATGCTATCTTTACTCCGTTTATTGAACCAACTTGCCTTTTAAATTGGATTAATTGCAACTTAACAGTTCTTACCCAGCAAAACTGATGCCTTGATTGTATTTTTTTTTTTTTTTAATCCCAAAACTGTAATCCTATCATTTAACAACATAAACAGCTTAAAATCAATACCAAACAGTTCATAACCTCACATAATGTCCTTTGATCAAGAAACATCTTCAAACACCATGAAACATCTCAACTTTAACATCAAAATTCCTCCTCTACCCATCAAGAAAATATATGAATAAATAACATCTTTAATTAATTTTAGATATTATTGGAGCTGATAAGTGAGCACATTAATAATAATAATAATAATAAAACAGCATCAGTAAAGAAGATACCTTGAGATCAATATTAGAGCGGGAGAAGAGGAATGGATTAAACTCGGGGTCTCTCTGTATGTTCTTCCACTTGCCTGTGCCGTGTTTAGCTACTCCTGCTCGAAGTGCTTCTTCTTCCTCCGATGTCCACTTCTGCTTCGGGTTCCCCATCTTTCTCTCTTTCGTTTGGTTTCGGTTTGGGGAGGATTTGTTTTGTTTTGTTTTTATTTCTCTCTCTCTCTCTTCTCATGAGGGAGATTTTCTGCTAAACGACACGTCGTTTACTAGTTACTAACACGAAGCCGTTTTGAGATATTCTTAAGGACTTAAATAGTAGCGACAAAACCTTCGTCGATAGGAGTTGCTTTTCACGAACATCGCGCCAATGTATTATCTCCACGTGGCAGTTAAGAGATGACAGTTTAAACAGCTCGGCAAATTAAAATTCACAAAACTGCTTCCCTATCTGCAATCAGAGCCTCTTTGAAAACTCTTCACTTTACACTCACACACCTAAAACGTTTCAGAAAAAAAAAAAAAAAATCCAAAACACACCAAACCAAAGTTCACACAATCCGCATTTTCACTAACCTGTGATGCGAACAGCAATGGAGTGAAGATCACGCTTCTTAAGAAGCCGAGGAATCAGAAGAGGAAAAGCAGTACCTTAAAGAAGAAGTCACAAATGGAGTACTGTCTTGGAGCTCGAAATTTTGCTGCAATGACGGTGTCGTCTTGCTCTACATGGCGGACTCGAAGAAAAATGTTCAGAACCAAACGGAATCTTATAAAGTACCATTGTAGTTCCTGTAAAGTGAGAGCTAGTAGTGTTAATGCAGGGAGAGATAGTTGCGTAGCTGTGAAAGAAGATTTTGCTGATGAAGAAGATTACATAAAGGCCGGCGGCTCGGAGGTTGTTTTTGTACAAATGCAACAAAATAAGTCCATGGATAAACAGTCTAAGTTAGCTGATAAGGTTGCACTCTTCTTCCTTCCTTTCTTGTTTAATTTCCATAGAGTTTATGACTCATCATTCTTCTGAGGATTATATTGTTCTAATCTTTTCCGTTATAACTTTTAAGGTTAGTCTTGATTTTTTTTTTTTTTTTTTTTTTCAGTTACCGCCAATATCAGTTAGTGATGATGTTTTGGATTTGGTGGTGATTGGTTGTGGCCCAGCTGGGCTTGCTCTGGCTGCAGAATCAGCTAAGTTGGGATTACAGGTTGGACTCATTGGTCCGGATCTCCCTTTTACAAATAATTATGGCGTCTGGGAAGATGAATTTAGAGGTACCGATTTTTTTTTTTCCCTCATATTGTGATTTAGCATTCAACAAATTACTTTATAACATTTAGATGTTTGAAACTGCAAATGGTTTCCGCATTTTTGAGTTTAGTACTTCATTTGCTACTCTTGCCAAAGATTATAAGAATCGTATTACTTAAAGGTTTATATGTATTCACTAACCTGTTGGAAAACTCCTTTCCCTGCTTGAATTAAAATATAAGATGAATATGGTTTATTATGCTTACAGATCTTGGACTTGAAGGGTGTATTGAGCATGTTTGGCGGGATACAATTGTGTATTTGGACGATGGTGATCCCATTTTGATTGGTCGTGCTTATGGACGAGTTAGTCGGCATTTGCTTCATGAAGAACTGTTGAGGAGGTGAGACTGCTTGAAATCATTGGTTTAAATGAACTGTTGTTTCAAACTCATTCATGTTCGTAAATTGTATATTCTAGATATATAATATATATTAATTTCCCCTAGGTGTGTCGAGTCAGGTGTTTCATATCTTAGCTCAAAAGTGGAAAGGATTACTGAATCTACTAGTGGTCATCGTCTTGTAGTTTGTGAACATGATATGGTTGTTCCCTGCAGGTATGATGGGTATTATTGTGCTAGTCTTCACAAATATATATATTAATATAAGTGAATTATCTGAACTTTAAGTAATATGATCTGGCCTCAATTTTCTACTGTATCATTATAGGCTTGTCACTGTTGCATCTGGGGCAGCTTCAGGGAAACTCTTGGAATATGAAGTGGGGGGTCCCAGAGTTTCTGTGCAAACAGCGTATGGTGTGGAGGTTGAGGTAGGCTTGTATGGTTTGCTATCTTAAATAAGTTTCTTCTCCTCTCAATCCGATGAAAGGTTTTGCAGTTGTTCAGAGCTGCAACGTTTTGATAATTTATTATGAATATTGTGTTGCAATTCTAGGTGGAAAATAATCCATATGATCCTAGCCTGATGGTTTTCATGGACTACAGAGATATTAAACAAGAAGTTCCCTGTTTAGAATTTGAATACCCAACGTTTCTTTATGTCATGCCAGTTTCATCAACAAGAGTTTTCTTTGAGGTTTGCTCAACGTTTTTCACTTTTATTTATAATTTTCATTTGTAACATTATCTGCAAAATGCTGAGCAAATATGAATCACAGGAAACTTGTTTGGCTGCAAAAGATGGCATGCCTTTTGACATATTAAAGAAAAAGCTCATGACCAGGTTAGACAAAATGGGAATCCGAGTTTTAAAAACTTTTGAAGAGGTAATCTTCATTATGAATATATAATATCTTATTGATAGTATTTTCTTTCTTTATTATCATTTACTTAAAAGCCAAAACAGGATTCAACCCATGTCATATTCTGAAAATTTATGTCTGCATTTTCATTCATCAGAGCTATTTGTTGTGCATTTATTTCAAAGATGGCATGCATCCACCCATTAATGTGGTTTTGGCATTTTTGTTGTCAAGAGTTTGGTTCTTTTAGTTTAAGTCAATATATATTGGAGCATGTAGAGTGAACATTAACCCCAGGAGCTCATAGGAAATGACCCAATAATAGTATCTAGTTCTAACGTGTCACTTCGTGTGTGACCAAGTTTAATTAATAAACTTGTCACATAGTATGAGCATACTCATTTAAACACAACAGTACCCACATGGATCTAAACTTCAATCTGAATTAAACTCCATGTTAAGTAACCATTTCTTCTAAAAGCTTAAACTCATAGCAAATAGCCACCCAATTATATTCAAATTAACAACAAGTACTTATGAAGTTGATTCCCATTTGTTTCCAAGATCACTTGTCCGATCATCAAATTTCAATTTGTTTTAAATTATGTTATTTTGATGTGCCATCCACATATTATTTTTCAAAAGATGAGAGAGTAAGCTTAATCATTGAGATAAACTTTCAGTTATAATGTAAATAATTTGAGCAAAGTGATTTGCTTTCATAGTTTTGGCAATTGGTTGAGGAAATTTTTGTTTATTTTTTTATTCTTATGCTTATGAACATAAATGAATCATCTAGCACTAAATGGCACATGTGGCATCTCCCATAATTAATGCATACTATATAGCATCTCATGCCCAAAGTCTGAATTCCCAACAACAAAAAGAATCTCTGTTTTTTGTGACAAATTTTTAATAGATTGTAAGCAATTTTTTGTTGGGATCATGGATTTTTTAGTAATCTTTTTCATGTCAAATATAATATTGTAATCTATCTGTAAGATTATGATTATCTGGGTGCACAAGATCTGAGGAAGCAGTTTATGAATGTATTATGAAGGAATGGTCTTATATTCCTGTCGGTGGTTCCTTACCAAATACAGAACAAAAAAACCTTGCATTTGGTGCTGCTGCTAGCATGGTGCACCCAGCCACAGGTAATAAAAGAAACAGTTCATCCACCTTTTTGGGTATATTCAAACTTAATAGTGCTAGGTCTTTTTTTTCCTGTTATGGAACAGGCTATTCAGTTGTGAGATCACTGTCAGAGGCTCCACATTATGCTTCTGCAATTGCAAATATATTGAAACAGGATCATTCCAAGGGTAGGCTTGCTCGTGAAAGAAGTATTGAGAATATATCAATGCAAGGTACTAATCAAACTTTCAATTTGAGATGTTGTTCATTTAATATGAATCAGTTGTGTGGTTATGCATTAATAGAAATTTAAATATAGAGCATTCTGACTCATTGTTGTTACAAATTATCCCATGGCTCAATTCCACTGATATCAACTTAGATAAACAGCTCTCTTATCGTGCACCTTACCTTATTTATAAATTCTTGTGCTTCGTTTTCTCAGGCTTTTAAGTTGAGCGACCATAGTTTGGCTTGGGGAACTTGGAACCAACTAGTGGATAGAATAATTTTAAGGTTGTAGAAGAACAAGTTTTTCACTTCCCTTGTTTGGAAATTATCATCTTTCACTCAACTTGTTTTTCAGTTAGTAGTCAGCGGGGCTATTTATAACAGTATATTTAATTTCAGATGTGATTCTGGGCTACCTACACACTCTCAACCTATAGAGATATCTTGGATTACAATAGAATAAATTTCTTTGGGGTAGGGAGCAGCAAATGTAGATGGTTTATTTAGCATATTGCCATTATGAGCTTCTCCACTTAGCTATTAAGGGTACACTGATGCTAGGGTTTCTTCAGAGATTTGAATAATTGACTTCTATCTGAATTGCCAAGCTGTTCTAATACTTCACTTCTATCTGAATCGCCAAGCTGTTCTAATATTGTCCCTTCGCCAATAACATCCTTCTAATGGTAAAGAATATTTTACTAGATTTGTTAGTCAAATTTATTTAGCGTAAAAGTTTATAAAACATTTTGACTTGTTTATTTTTTATATAACTCAAGGATTTTTTTTCTAAGTTCTAGAAGTTGAAGATACATTTCACTTTGAGGAAGAATATCTTTACTTATGCTTAGTAATTTATATGTAAAATTTGTAAATTGAGCGGGTGCCCACATATTTGTGTGCATTTGTCTGAAATCATTTTTGGCATCAAATATAGTTGCCCGGCCATAGCCATTAGATTATCATTTAGGTAAATCATACTCAGAGCTTTGCATGCAATTGGGATGTAAAATATAGTTTTGGATGATTCTTTTTTTCAGCTTGGAATACTCTTTGGCCACTAGAGCGGAAGCGTCAGCGGGCATTCTTTCTCTTTGGACTAGCACTCATTTTGCAACTGGATATTGAGGGCATCAGGATGTTCTTCCATACTTTCTTCCGGTTACCCAAGTGGTAGTAATTAATACTTTACTTTTGTTTCCCTTAATCATTTGTCGGTTGATGGTTTTATGATGCTCCAGTTGTTATTGTGTTTTCATTTTAATTGCTTGGAATCTTGATTTAACACATGAGCATCATGTGAAAATTTCAATCTCAAATTTTGAGATG